TTCCCAACTTAAAACCTTTCGATAAAAACGTGATAGGCTGACGTTTGGGTCTAAGTCGTACGAGAAGGAAAAGGGTAGCCCCCAGGGGGCCCCACCTGATAGGAATATACGTTAACCCTTATTTTTAAGAAATTTCGGTTTTATTTCAGGAGCAGGACAAAATTTACAATGTAAAAGCAGTCTACAGAAGGTCTAATTTTGTTTCACCCGTCTACGAACCTACAAAAGTATAATTCTACCTCCTTCTAAAATAAGTTGAAAATAGTTTTTCTCTTTTGACCTACTTTTGGTTCTGTCGTAATTATAATCACATGATAAACACAATACCCAGACAAGTTTAATATCACTTACAACACTCATATTACACGAGACATTTACAGAAAAACATAACCTGCTATCTAACTTACCACACATTAGTTATGTAAAAGAAGAACTTTAAGTGTCCTTCTTTTTGTGGTGGTATGAAAATTCTTTTATAGGACGACCTGTGAATTAAGATTTGACCTGGGTGTCATAAAAGAACAAACAAGTTTGCATTAAGAACTTGGAAGACATCAGACGAGTACTAAAAGGTTGAGTCCTGTTTGTATTTATATAGGGTGTAATTTTTTCTTTTTCAAGACGGTCACAAAAATTTTGACTAAGTATTTTCCCAGTTCGCCGGGGAAGTTCCACCTTTGGGTCCGTCATTAAATTGGACAATCCTTTGTAAACTGAGAACAGGTGGTCATTCTCCTTCCACTCTGCTCTTAGACGTAACACTAACCTTGTTATTAGCGACGACTTTTTTGGTTAAAGTACTGGGTTCAAAACGCAAGGCTAGAATTCTAGGTTTTTAAGTCGAGGATTCAAAAGAATTGGGATTGAGATAGAAAACTGGAGACCTCACTCTTTGACGTGCTCCCAATTACCTATCACCTATCCTCTTAAGTTTTCTCGCAATCCCTCTCTCTCTGACGTCCCATGAAGTTAGCGTCCTTCTCTGCACTTGGCACCAGCAAACACTAGCGGCGACCATAGAACTGTCCTTATGTCACAAAATAATAGGCTACCTGTGTAACTGTACGCCACCCCTTTATCCTAACTGCAATAATGTTTGTTGCATTTGGACATTAACTACAAAACCGCTAATGCCGGGGGCCTCAAAGTCCTACTAATTAAGGTCCTCCCTTTCTACGCGAGACTTACTTGGTGGTTTTTCTTCACTTCATAACTGCTCATGACTCGACACCCGGTTAGAATGGAACGCCGACCGACGCCTGCTAGATACTACTTACTCTCCTAATTGTAGACCCCCTGCACTATTCGGCGCCCCTAGCCGAAGGCCGACGCTCCCTCAATCTGTACGCCGGCCTGGGGTGACCGGCGTTGGACGTGACCGTCCCACTCCTTGACCTCTGAGTGAAACGTCACGGGTTAAGGGATAGTGGATAGGAGAATTCAAAAGGACTTAGGAGAAGAGACTGCTGTACTTTAGAGAATCCGAATGCACTTTCACTATCTGACGTGTTTATGATGCGCCAGCGGACATCATAAATGTGCGTCTGCTGCTGTGGGGAAACTATGGAAACTACAGTGTTCTATACAACGGACTACATGGATGTTTAATAAGAATGAACGAGGGACTCATCTAGAGACTCTGCACCGTGCTCTGATGCTGTTGTTTTATGCTTTATGAACGTGGGCAACAGAGAAACATATTCTTCATGACCAAAGTTGGAATTGAAATAAAAAAGGAAAGTGAAACTTATGCTCGTCACCCTCTCCCTCCGGTCTACTTAATACAAATGATCCCAATACGTATGATTGTATGAACTATGAAAAGATCTTAAAATCAATACAAATGTATTTATTATAAACATTAGTCTTTAATACCATATCACCATTCAAACATCTTTTAAAAGTTGAACAAACCCCACACAGCTCAGTGAAATGTTGACTTTATTTGATCATTTCAGTAAAAACTAACGTTCATATTTCTCTTTTTGATTATAATACTGATGAACGTTCAAAACAAAGCACTTTGGCAACTTACCACATACGTTTTAAAAAGCTTAATAAGCACCGTAACTTTCATGATATCATTCCTCGGTCATAATCGGTTGTTTCCGTGAACGGCCGACTGTTGTGTGACGGCAAATGCTGCGGCTGCAAGGCATTGTGGGGCAGCATTTTCTCCTCTCCTTTCGTCAAGGGAGGTCCAGTGGTTCCTAAGCTAAAGGAGGTTATAAAGGAAGTTTGAAACCTCCTTTCCAATCATCCTAGAGAATTCGAACGGCACTTATCATGGCTGCCACTGAGGGACTTCCGGGTCATTTCACTCCGTTAGGAAGGTTCCTAAGCTAAATGGACTATTCGACTTCAGCCCTGGGTTCGTATAGTAACCTTTATAGAGATCTGTTGCAACCATACCACAATGAATTCATGTCATTTGCTCTACAATAACGGTTGATATAAATAAATCATGAAGTTTCCTTTGTATTGAACCTTTTTCACATCAATGAGTAAGTTATTCTAGCCTTCACATACACAAACAAGGCCTCTAGTTGCAACGAAAACATGTGAACTGATCGACTATCCTTACATCAAACAGACTGACCTTGTGGGGGCATTTCATTCAAGGTGAGGGCTACCTGGCCCTTATTTCCACCGTCTAATAGTCCTGAGGGCAATCAGAGCTTCACGACTTGATGAAGTGCAGCCTATTGTGAAGAACAAGGGCTTACTCCATCTTGGTTGGTATCCGTCTGACATCCTCGGTCCTCGGGGAGTTTTTTCTCCCTGCCAGTTGTTCATTCTTCGAGTCACGCTGTGCAACTGTGATAGACCGTGGAGACAAGAAAAGATAAGGAAAAAGAAAGGATATACTGGAGGCAATGGGTTAGAGTTTAATTTGACCACTGAATTGTTGGGGTAATATCTCATTCATGATACATTGTGTTCCATTTGCCATAACCAGTGCTTGAATTGGGATAAAAAGGTGCCGGTACTCTACAGTCTACACCATGCAATTATAGCTTTAATGAGAAAGGGTTCTCTCTGGCCTCAGTGGGTAAATGACCAACTAGGGGGGCTTATGAAGGCTTCATGCTGATCATTTCATACAGAGAATTCAAAGGAAAAAGGTGTCTTTCAACATTATTTTCTGTTACCATAGCGAAAACCATGTATTCTGATGTATTATAAATTGATATTCACTGTTCATATATCACTGGAAGCCATTTCAATTCTCTCTCTATGATTTAATAGAGATGCCCCTCTGATGAGACACCATGTGATTTGTTCATTTCGTTGCTTTATTTTCCAGGGATGGTATTCGGGTTACAGGCAGCAGTATATTCTAGGGGTAATACTGAAATATTGAATTGTGTTGTTTGTGTCTCAGTGAAGAAAAATAAGTCTTCAAACTCCCAAAACCATAGTACAATCTGAATATATGTCACAGAGATTTATACGACAGCTTCAACAGATGAGTAAATCGAGTTCGAATGGGTTTACAATCCAATTCAACCCAGAATGAGGCGACATGGTCGATGGAAACTACCTTAAAGTGAGTTTACAATCTCTCACGTCCATCCGACCGGTCCCATCTGTGTCTCTATATCAGTACAGTACTGCTGATGGTAGACTCTTAACTAAAAGAAGAATTTGGAGGCCACAGTAAAGGTCTAATCTCTCACCTAGCAGCTGCCCAACACCTCGGTAGGGCTGTCCCCATATCGACTAAAAAAAGCATGGTTAATTTTCCCATTCTGTGTTTAAAGAATACATTAACAAAATGTTGAGTGATTTCTTTGCTACTTGCTCCGTTACTACTTGCTTGAATCGTTACTGGCACTTCTGTCGTTAGCATTGTTGCGCTGTGACTCATATGCACTTTGCACGTGTAAAATGTTATTGTTTATAGTTTAACACAATCTGCCTTAATTTTACTCACATCTGTTCTTTCTCAGCTTGGAAATGAAACCATTTAATGAAGCCAAAGACAAAATAAATCAAACACACATTCCTGCTGGTGGTGTTTTAATATTTCATGTTTCCTGTCCATCTTATGAATGGATGAATGTGACTTGTGTTCATAAATGTGCGTGACTAGTCGACTAATCGATTGAACTTCGGTCAACGGCAGCCCTTTCTTGGACAGGAATGTAAGCTAACCGATACTCATAAGGCAAGGCAAGGCAAGTTTATTTATATAGCACCTTTCAACACAAGGCAATTCAAGGTGCTTATAAAAAGGAAAGACATTCAGACAAACGCATTTAAAAACAGTCGTTAAAAAGAAAAGATAATAAAAGAAACATTAAAAGAAAAAATACATGAATAAAAAGTTACAGTGCAGTTTAAGATATGAATAGTTCAATTAAAAGCAGCGACAAAAAGAAAAGTCTTCAGCCTGGATTTAACTCAGTATTTATTCCTGGATTCTTCTTTAAGAGGCAACAAGTAAAGCTTATGCATTAGACTGTGGTGATATAATACTCAAACAGAACCAAATCATACTGGTTTCATTCAGACAGATATCAGAGGGTTCAGCGGTGACTCTTTAACAGATGGTGGCTGTGGAGTGACAAGGCATCAGCAGTGAAGTAGAGCTCGACATTTCCTCTGGGAATGACTCTTGTATGGTGGCGTAACTCTACCTGTCACATATTCACTTTTGCTCACTGATTCTCTTTCTCTTTGTCAGATTGTCTGTATTCATTTTCTCTTGGGGATATAGAGTTTACACGGGGAATATTAGAGATATGCAACTGCGATAAGGTGAATCCAGGTCAACGCTGTAGAGCCTTATTGATGTATTAATCCATACTTGTTGCGAGGGGTGTAGTTGTAGGAAAGGTTTTGTTTTTCTTGACCGTTAAAGTTTCTCTTTTAAATTTCCTTGTTTTATTCTTTGACACAGGGGCCGTTTCTCAATCGCGAGGATGCTTGCTTGGTAGCACATGTCTTCCGAGTCACTTCCTTCAGAAGCTATAGGCAAGAATCCTTCCTGGCATTCGGAAAACGAAGAGTGGAACAGGCTAGCAAGTGTGCAGGTGTGCGTCATATGAGAGGCCCCGCCTTACATTTTACGCCGCAGATTTGGGGAAATGTGTCCGTGCGCAAAGCATTGTGGGGATTTGAAGGACGCGAAGTCTACCCATGAGCAGCCTCTAAATTACCCCCAAACCAAGGACGCGGCCTCGGTAGAATTCCAAGTATGCTGGAGATTGGAACAGTCCTTCGGCGGCACTCGATGACGTAGCATCCTTGAAATATTGGCTTGGAAGCCAGTTTCCTCGAGATTGAGAAACGGCCAGGCTTTCATTGTCTTTTTCCCGAGGGAATCCTCTACATCCCTCAGTCTATATCATAACGTATAATTCACTTTGAATGGGGTGACGTCACACTTTGTCGAACTGCATTGTGGGAGCGTCGTTGAGCAATGTTCAACTTTTGAAGCTTCGACGGAAGCGTCAGCCAATCAAATCATATGCCAGTGCAAGCTCTAGCCAATCAAACCGCGCGTTTGTGTGTCCGGGGCGGGAGATACATGATTGGTTGTTGGTCAAGCTTCAGACACGCCCCCGCCGGCAAGCTTCAACACACGCCGCCGTGTGGACGCTGCGTTAGGATGTAACCAGCAAATTATAAAACATTTTTACTTATAATTTTTCTGCCATTATTTAATCAACAAATATTTTTGAGTTGGAGAAAAAGTGATGAACAATAAGAGCTTTGACTCCACCTTGGTTTTTGTCTTTTTTCCCCATCATTTGCCCATTTGAACAATGAAGTGTTGAAAGATACAGAAGAAGAAACTTGAATTTATTTTAACGACAAGAGTTGGAACATTTTGATGCTGATGATACACGCTTAACCGTGTGTTTTTTTTGCCTGTCGAAATGATTTGTTCTGTCTTTGGTGCGTCATATATTTCTAAAATGTGAATGTGTTGTGTATTTCAGACTTCATTTTGTTTAAATAACATTTATTGACACGTCATATGATAAATGTTAAGTCTTTGACGATTAGACCCCGATCCTGAAATCGTATATCTAAAGGGGGAAATGCAGCCGTGAGCATATAGGGAACCCTCCCCCCGGGTCTAG